AATCCTTTCGTTCCCATTGAAGGCGATCGCCGCTGAACGCGTGTTCCATGGAACGGTTGCTACACTCCGGCCGTTCAGCAAAAAGCTTTCTTCAGCCAAATATAAGCGTGTTGATAATAAAAGCGTGTGACTTGCGTGAAACAACACTTTTATTCTCAATGCTATAGCTTTATGTTATGGCCTTTCCAAAAAACTACATAGAGCAGTTCTCCGAGATTTAAGTTTCGATTCACTAGTTCACTCTTATGAGAAGTTCTTGTTCCAGCAAAAGATGTCCCTATATCCCTTTACACTACCCTGTCCGATAACGGAGAATAACCAATTTTCGTTCAACGTCGGTTGCAAATGAATTACATATTCCATGTTGTTATCAATTACCGCATTATATTGTTCTTGAACGAAATCTCAAAGTAGTCGATTGCATTGATTGTTACACATTCCATGATGCTTGGGCAAACGCACGAAATTGATGGACAGGAGGAAAGTCGATTTTCCGATTACTTGAACGATTAAGCACAAAAAAAGTTAATCATGGTAACCAAAAGAATAGCTGTCGACTTTAAAGAAGAGCAGCAGGTGAGTGAAATGGGGTGAAACTTCTCCAGGATTGCGGGTATCTCTTTCAGTAGACCACTATGTTAATGTTATCAATGTTATTCCTATTCTATTTATATGGTTACTCTCGCAACATCAGCAATAAGCAGCTTTGCCAAGCTTCATAAAGAGCCTACATCTATTCTTTTTGAATCTAAACTTCATTTTTAACAAACACTGGTTCCTTGCAAACAGTTCACTGTTGCAATTCACAGTTTCCTCTTTGAAAGCCAGACATTCTACAATTCATATTTAACAGCTGACGTTTCGGCAGCTTTCGCCTCAGAAGGTCAGGTTGCCTATGACTCAGTCAGCCAAATGCCTCTACCACTTCAACAGAGAAAATGAGCAAACCAGAATCTCAGTAGGATTCAACGCAAAAACAACTTTTCTAACACACCCGCTTTTTTTATAAGTCTTGCATCCAGTTGTCCAAGTGGGACGAACAAACTTAGAAATTACATGGACCTCTAGTGCAACTCTTACATCAAAATTAGAGTTTTATATATTGTGTCATATCGCGTGTGGAAGCGAGGCATTCCTCCCTGTGGTTCAAGTCTGGATTGATGGAGTTTGAACTAGAACGCTTCCGAAATCTTACGTGCTGAGTTTTTTGTTCTTGTGTGGCATCGGTGACTTTTACTCAAAATCCTGGTTTTAATATGTTTGTTCTGTGTGAGCTTGATCAGGTGTTTGATTCGACTTTGAGCATGCCAGCTAGTTCGCATAAACCGACAAGATGGCCTACCTATTTTATCAATGTACTTGCCATCGTACGCTTTACCAGAAGTCAGGCAAGCTGTACCCGCATCCATGCAACCATTGTCCATGTTTGAACATGATTTTATTTCAATGCTATGGCTCAATAAGGGAGGCCTTTTCAGAAATCAAGCACAGTATTGACACACTAATATTAGGTTGTTCCATAGTTTTGACATTAGAGAATAACACCAAATCACTACCAGATGTAATCAAAAACACATGATTTCGGCGTCATTCAATTGCAGATTTTCTTGTAAACATTTTTTCGTACAACTCGCCTCAAACTTGCTCTAAGTTGAACCTGTCGTGGGGACAAAGTCGCTTGCTATTCATGCAAAAATGGTGCATAGGGGAAAATGCCACTGAGGTGGCGCGCAATATCAATAGAGTTTCCGGTGAACAGGCTCGTGCGTAGCTGATCTTCCAAACAGTTCCCTCCAATTTAAACTTCGCAGACCACTTCGTAGTCGTCCTTTCCGCAACCGCGTCATCGCCCCAAACTCCACTGATCTTACGCGCCGCTTCACTAGCATTTTCTTCTATGCGCCATTCGTGTTATAGTAGGAAGAATTTATTCACAAGACAGCTCCATCTTGAAGTAAGTACAGGCAAGTTACACATCAAAATATTCGAAAAAAACACGTCCAGTTGAACGATATCAAGATCATGTAATTATATTTGCTTCTGGTAGAAAAAATTCAATGCTTATTGCTTTAGGCCAAAAGTTCTGGAACAACCTAACAGTCAAGTTTTTGAACAAATACCAAAGTCCAGAGAGAATCTCTGACACGGAAAATACCCTTCGCACCCCGAAGCGATCTTAGCACCACATCTGTCTGAACGAGTTAGTAGGTCGGGGATAAATTCTGAGAAAATGCTTGTAACTTTTTTGGGTGTGAGCCATTTTTTTGTGTTTTTGGACTAATTGAAAGCCCGTCTTCTTCCGCGTTGATTGGTATAAAATTCATCTACTTATTCCAAGATGGAGTTAACAAGCGAGCAAATAAGGTTATTGATGATGCACGAATGGCTGTTGAGTTCAAATGCAGTGGTAGCAAGTGAACGCATCGATCAACTTCTTTCAACGACCTGAGGGCGGATAATCTTCCAAACTTTCTTCACCTTCTTCACACCTTTTCAACCACCTGTACACCGTACTTTTGCCAACTGTGTCTTCGCCCCAAGCCGGATTGATGCGTTCACTTGCCACCGTTGCATTTGAACCCAACAGCCATTCGTTCAACATCAACAACCTAACTTGCTCGCTTGTTAACTTCATTCTGAATTGAGTAGATAAATCATAAACAGATCGTCGTGGAAGAAGATGGGCTTTCAAATGAGCCCAAAAACACAAAAAATGGTCTGCACCCAAAAATTACAAGCATTTTTTCAAAACTTTTTCCGCAACCTATTAATTCACTGATGGATAGAAGCTTAGAAAAAATCACTTGAACTTTTGTCAAACTTATGGTTGACCATTGTATAGACAGCGTCTGTAGGAAGGCTACCTTTACTCTAAACATACCATTACTTATAACTCCAGACGCCGCATCTTTACCATTATTACGGACCACAGCATATTTCTCAGTTCTTCTCTGTTGTCCGTGCCTATTTCATCCTTCAGGGTATCATGAAGCTTTAGTAATCGTTCAATAGCTTAGAATCAAAACAATTTGAATAATATATTTCACTTTCAAGAAATTTCATTATCATGCTAGAACTGCGAATATAATATATTGTTTCTCATTCAAGCATTTGTGGTTGAAGAAAATTATTTCTTTAGACTTTTAATAGTCAATCGATAGACCAATAGACTAATTCTCAAATATTTAATGATTTGGCTCTTGGAAATAACTTCTCATTGCTCTGTAACAACAAAAGAATATCGGGTTTCGTAAATTTAGGCCACTTTCGTCATGCGCACCTATTTCCAATACTCTGAAAAGAAGCTCCTTTTGCTTTTTTCTCAAGTTTTAACAATAATCTACCAAAACAAATCTCAGAGATTTCATCGATTTAATTTATTTTCAGTATGGCTTCACAATTCCGATCTAACAGCAAAAATGAAATTATGTTTCTCTTTCAGCATTTCTTGCTGAACAGAGCTTTTCTTTCAAACATTGAGCTTTGAATCGATAGGTCAAATATCTTCGATTCCATTTATATGCTTGATGTTTGAAAAAGACTCCTTGATGTGTTGTAGGATTGAAAAGGATGTTGAGTTTTGCGCAGTGCAACATCGACATCAAACCCACCGTGCTTCTCCGGTATGTGTAGATAAGAAATTCGCAACATAGTCGCTAAGAAACTGCGCCTTTTCAAGTGCCAAATTTGTGAAACCCAATCCTCTTTCAGTTATAACGTAGCAAGATGTCCCTGTGATATATTATTACAATCAGCGAGATGTAAGCTAAAAAATGGCACAGGTAGCGGAATTTTTTTACTCGTTTCTTATCGTAATCGTTGCTTATGGCGTTGATTAGACTCACCCATTGTTTATTGTTTCGCTTACAAACATTCGCAACAAATGTTCTAATCAGTCTACTTCGGTTTAATGCAGAGCGCTTCATCGATGCTACATTTACATCCATCGCACTTGCAATCCGCGTCGGCTTGACACGGCTCTCCTACAGTGTAAATTCTCCGTCCTATATGGCTGCCACTAAAATATTTCAGTGAAGTATTTTCTCGTAAAGTATTCAAAAAAAACCTAGGTAACCTACGGAGGTGCGTATTGGCAGACAACAATTGTGTTCTTAGGGCACACTGCAACACCACAGCCAAGTTTATATGAAGTCTCATACACCACCTTCAAACAAGTAGGTGCTGTTTCATTATGATCACAATATATCGCATTTTTTTCCGTTTGGTAGAACAGATTTTCGAGCCTATCTTTTACTCTCGGGCAAGAAGTTTGCATAAAAATTTTAGTAATCATTCGAAGGTCAAAATTCTAAGCTAGCGATGTGCGTAGCCGGTTCTTCGAAAAGACTCCTTCACAATGCTGAAAAACTAAAATAAAATTATGTTTCACGTCGCTCGCGCAATTCGGCTATTACTTCGCCTGCAGCCCCAAAAACACATGAACGTGCAGAGAAGATCTTCTAGTATCAGAGTTAGACGTATAATCAGGAGAAATTCCCAAAGAGGAGAAAATGTTCCTGATTAAATACATCTCGCCTAGGCGCTATGGATCGATGTTCGCATCGACTTCCCCCTATCCCCCACCCCTAAGCCGTGAATTAGCCGAAGAACACAAGCTCGCGTATGAGTATCAATCCTATTTTCCCCGCTGCGTTACAGGAAAACGGTCTTGCGAATATAGAAGCACTCGTTGGATTCCGTAAATTTCACGCTATCGCACAGCTGTTGATAGTCTAAAGAAAGAGCTCTGTACAGCGGAAAATATGTGAATGTAAAACACGATTTTATTTTTGGATTTTTTGCGTTATAAAAGGGCCTCTCCAACAAATCAGCCACGTACAGTGCTAGCTCGAGATTTAGGCTTTCAAATGATTTTTAGCACTCTTTGTAACAAGTTCTTGTCCAGCGTAGGGGATAGGCTTGAAAATCCGTACTAGCAAGCGGAAATTTACCTATGATAAGAGTATATCCAACAATTCTGAGTAATATGCAAAACTGCTAACGTCGAATGGGATTCGAACCCGTTTTACCCTTTCCAGGGGTGCTTGCTAACCATTTCACTATCGGCGCTCGTCCTTTCATCACTCTTTCTGCGACACTATTGTATTGATCTATCAGCAATTAACCGTCAACGCTTCCTGGCTACATTTGATACAACTGTGTCACGCAGTGATGGCAGTAGAGAAGTAGTGATAGGGCAACAGTTAGCGCGTGCCTCCGTAGAGGGTGACATGTGTATACGAATCCCGTCCAACGTTCAATTTTTGCTTGTCGCCTCAGCATTGTTGAAGAATATACTCATAATATCGTACCACTGCTAAAAATCGTTGGATATTTGAAAAGTTCTAAGGGATTATATCGCCAAGAATTTATTCACCTGAGTATAATGACCGATCACCATATTTGGACGTTTCGAAAGCCCATATGTGAGTCTGTCATCTGGTGGCATGCCGTATTTCTTCAGCTCACTGAACCACGAGAAGGTGGACTCAAAGATGGCAACGCATTAGCAATTCCTACCCTTCCATTAAAATCAAAAAACTGTTGTAAAAAGAGCTTCTTGTTAGTTTTGATTAGAAAAAGGTAAGGCATGAAGGATCTCAACTCACTGATACAGCCTGCTCCGTAAGATTCCCCTTTGTTGTATTAAATGTCCACATGTTTTCTTCACTACTCCACTTTCTATCTTTGCTGTATTCCGATACACATTTTTGGCATGCTTGACGGCGGCATCCTCGATATTGCAGTCATAAATCTAATAATAAAATGTTTCCACTAGGTGGAGTTCTGGTATCCAAAAAAGCTAGACAAAAAGCTAGTCTGTAGTCATTACCATTTTTAGCATTCGCGCCGCTTTTGGTGCCTTGCCGTCGGTACCGAGAGGATTTTCAGCCAAACCTTTAGCCGTCAATGATCTATGGAAGAAAAAATTTGTTGAAGTATAAACACTTGCCAAGTTTTGTAACCGTCTTCAAATTTCAAAAATTTGGCACCATGGGCCGTATCGACCGGTCTCCTGGTAATTATCATATGAACTACCTCAATCTATTATGCTCATCCAAGAAAGCGTTTCTGATTTGATCAGTCATTCCGTTGTTCAGCTTACATGTGGCTGAAAGGTTCGCTTATTTAGGATAATAAATCAACTGACAGAGTTGTCTATGCTATATAATGTCTCTATAATAATTGAAACCAGTGGAACCTGCCTCCACCTGTCGTTGGCTTAACGGTGCCTCCTGTCGTTGATTTGATAGGCTCGCTTGTCGTTGCCTGCACTGGTCCCTTTGTCGTTGATTGTGGTGACTCGGTGCCATTTGAATCAATACTGTAAAATTCCAGCTTCACAAGGAATGTTTACGTCTAATTTGACGATTGGAAGGCAACGAACTGTTTTTCGTCCATCTCTGCTTTCCCATGAGATCCGCCTAGCAGGAACTGAAACATCTCTTTGAGAGTATTTCGAGATAGGCGAGTACTACTAGACAGTACGATAGTATCGAGAAGCGTATCAGACTCGTTGACACTTAGCTATTCGGTGCTCTTTCTTCGTAATTCAAAAATTCATACTTAACTGAAAGACCTACCAATGTAAATGCAGTAGTCACTAGCATAGCTGATAGTGAACACTCATGAAGCTTCGACAATTTGGCCAATCTAATATTACTACAGGTAGGTGGAGCAAAGTATATATGCTGTTTTTGAAATCAGCGAATAGACTGCGTACATAATTGATCAAGCAATAGCAGCCTGAAACTCATTGATTCAATTCATAATATACGCCTGATTTTTGATGACCAAATTCGATAAACATATCTCTCAAAGTAGATAAGGACAAAAATAAGTGCTGTTATCGCCATCGTATGATATTTTATAAGTCTCCCAGTAGTACTGGTCAAATTGCAACGGAAATCGACCAGTCCATGTGAGCAATAATGCTGGATGATACGCATAAGTTGAAACTTTGGGCAGGAGTTGGAACTTGGGTATTACCTTTATCGGGCTCGTGTGGATCCTTTATAAGCAGGTCACCTTTCATTGAGTATCTTATTTAAGCAAAGAGCCAGTCAGAATCAAAACTTTTTCGAATTATCTGATTTTCAATTACAAAAGTGTTGAGATACGTTTAAGAGTTAAAGATCGATGTTTTTTCACCATGGACTCGAACTGAGACTGTATCTTTCCGGGTCAATGCGTGCTCGCACGACAGAAGAAACACCAGGTTCTAGGTTTCGCTCGTATTTGAGCGTCGTGGCTCTATTATTAGGAAAAACAAATAGGCTGCGAATAAAAGTGATAGATCAGCCTCAGCTTAAGTCTAGAGTGTTTTGAGTATGTGTACGAATAAACGAGTATGAAAATTAAAACGTCCTCTCTGTAAACTGTTATGAAAAAGTTGATATAGAAACAGCAACAGTGACACGCTTTGCTACCGACTACCTTTTTAAAATGAACTTGAATAATCTTTATTTTGATCTGTTGGTAAACATCCTACATTTTCATAATTTTCCTACAAAGTTCACTGTGAATGACGTCTTGCAACCACAATTTTCTTCGACTCATCACTGCAGTCATACTGATTGGCCATCTTCGGCGTCTTTTACTCCTTTGAGGGAAGTTACAGTTAGATCAGGACGGATATATTGAAGTAAAACGCCATCTTAATAGAAACACTTCAACCATGCCCATTTATACGAGTTATGCAATACTTTTGGCTCAGAGTTGAAAGATTTTTGTTTAACTTGTTTCTAGCTTTTGGTCGGCTGAAAAGCTGAGAGATGAGCTAAGGTGCTGCTTTTGCACTTTTTCATTTTCAGTGAGATTTTAGTGGTGATAGTGGAGATCTCAAAGATATCACACATTGCTGCAACGTAGAACGTTCCTTATTGTTTATCTTCACCAAGAGATATGCTTATTTTGATGGTGAAAATCTCAATGATGAAAAATCATATGATCATTTTGAATAGATCCGTTGAGTTCTGTGCCTCCGTCAGCTGATTAGCCAAGCATACAGTTAATATGGTGCTTGAAAACAACATGTTTGCTCTGCTAATCTTTGGTACTCCTGCTTTTTCTGTGATGGTTAATCAGCTGCGTTACGGGAGATCCCTCAGAGCTCGGCACCAAATGTGGTTGATGACATATCAGTGAGCCATTGAACCACTGCAATCACTTTGTTAGGTTCTCTTCTTCGGTTCAAACGTATAGAGCTGTAGGAACTTGCTCGGATATTTGGACGGTTTGTTTGCAGTGGTGGTGAGAGCCCGCATAGTTTCCATTCGGTTGTCGCTCGCGCAACTGTCGTCCGTGGTGGTGGTCTATTTCCAACATGGCGATATGGCAAGGCCCACTCCGTGATTTCGGACTCGTTGTCATCTACGGATGCAGATGGTTGATGCTGACCACAAACACGTGCGGCCATCGTCAGAGTGGTCTTCTAAGAGAATGGATGCATTGTTTTTATAGTTCGCTCCACTGTTGTTTTGGTCCATTTGCGTCATCTGTTCTTCTCACTGAGTAACCGGCCAATCTGTATTAGTTGATTATCATGTGAGAGTTATTAGGTTGAAGAGAAAGTTTGGGGGCACTTGTGGAAAAATGAAATTTATGCATGAATTTTGAACAAAAACGATAATAACTATTCTTCAAAAGGAAGGCCAGCGTTTTCCAGGTTTCTCCGCATCTGGTCGAAGTGCCATTCGTTTGACTTCCAATCAAGCAACTCTTGACAAGCTTCTTCAACTTTATCGAACGATTCGAAGAGGCGATCCTCAAAAAAGTGTTGCAGTGATTGGAGGAAAAGGCCAAATTCGTATGGAGTGCAATCTGGACTGTTGGCGGGATGCGGCAGAACCTTGACTACGTCCAATGCATCAAACTTATCTTTGGTGTTTTTGGCAGCGTGCGATCTGGTATTGTCTTGTTGCATCAAAGCGCGCTTTCGGTTGAATAAGGTCGGGTTCTTCTTCTTCGATCAGATCCGAAACTTGGCGCATCGATGGCAGAAGGCCGTAGAAAACAATGGCTTTTATTTTGACTAACAGCTACTATTGTTTTTGTTTGAAGTTTATGCATAAATTATCAGGTTTTTACAAGTGCCCCAGAACCTTCCAAAATAATAAATTAGCAACCCATGTAATTTCTCTACAGTTCGTCTTCGTTTGAACAGCTCAGTGGAAGGGCTCATGAAAAGCGGTACATACGTTGAAATTTGTTTTGCGCTTGACGCGATTTAAGTCTAGGTCTGGTGACTTTTTTGTTGTTGAAGTAATAGAGGAAATTGGCTGATCAGGTTGTAGGCAACCTAATCTTTTCAAACTCTGAAGAAGGCGAGACTGCCGAAGGGTCAGTTGTGAGGATGAATTGATAACAGCTTGTATTTGGCGCACAAAGTAAAATCTGTGGATTTCTGAAGAATGCCGAGGTTAGTCGGAAGTCGCTCGTGGAAACTGATTGTTGTACAGCCTGTTGAGAAATATCGGCGCTGTCCTTACAATCGATAGCCTTCCTAATGCCCTTCCAGTCACAATGTATAGACACCCTGCAATAATCCAAAAATTTTTTTACGATTACTTTTCTAAGTTTCATAGGAAAACTATCATATTATTTTGGATTGGGTGGCACTAACCAGACGCGTCGCCGCGTGTCATCATCGGTGATAGTTTAGGATTTTAATAACGCACTGTGCCTTTTTACTTTTCTTTTTTCTTGTGAACAGTGATGTTTCTTTTCTTGCGAATCAAATTGGCAATGTATGTAGTGTGTTGTCAGTACGCGAACTAGTTGAGTGTTCGATGGAGTATTGCTGGAAGAAAAGATAAGTTTTTAGGTCGAACGGAATCTTTTCTTGCAAATGAAAGAGTTTGAGTTTATCAAGCATGGAAAATGTCCTTTGAATGTTCTGAAGGCCTCAGCAAAGTCATTCGGAATTTTCGAATCGTTACAAGTATCTGTGGGGAGCCGCGCCCAAGTGGTTGTGGTGTTAGTCACAGCGTGCGTGGAGCCGAACTCCACCCCCATTTCTCCCCGGCAGTCAAAAACAACGATCTGTCGAACAGCACAGCAAGGCTATG